TTCTGCACTGATGAAGTAACTAGTTCACTAATTATTAAGTCGTGATTAGCCCCTCTATGAAATTTGATCATGAGTTAATGAAGAACTGACCATTAACCAATAGTTCCTCATTAGTTCCTCATTCGTTCCTCATTAGTTCCTCATTCGTTCCTCAGTAACTACTCTAATTTTGTGTAACTTAGTTCCTCAGTAACTACTCAATAGTTCCTCATAAGTTCCTCAGTAACTACTCCTCTGAAATTTGATCATGAGTTACTGAGGAACTGACCATTAACTAATAGTTAGTTCCTCATTCGTTCCTCATTAGTTCCTCAGTAACTACTCATTAGTTCCTCATTAGTTCCTCAGTAACTACTCTAATTTTGTGTACCTTATTGTAAAGTGTTACCCCTACTTTATATAGAAACAAAAAACAAATAGCTGAAATTTTTATGTACGACCAAATCTGATTTGACTGACATAATTCTGAGTTGGGCACAGTCCTAATCTTTATGCATGCCACACCTTTCACATGGATGGAGTGTCTTGGAAAAGGAGAAGTGTTGACTAACACATTTTTAACAAATTTGTGACAAAAATTGAGTAAGTCTTTTGTGTGCATAAAAAAAAGACTTAGATCTTTTGACTTAAACCTGTAAAAAATGGGAGAAATACAAAAGTAATGCGTTTAAATTTTTGTTCAGTGTTGTTGTGTGATATGTCGTATAGAAGTAGAATGAGCTGTGTATGTGTTGGTGCACCCCATCAGGATTGGACAAGATCGAGTTCCTGCAGAGCCATGAGAACCAGGAGATCTATCAGAAGGCCTTTGACCTGATTGAACACTACTTTGGTGTAGAGGAGGAAGATGCCAGTCTGGCTCCTCAGGTGGACCAGAGTCAAGGCCAGTTTGTCTTCCAGCAGCAGGAAGGACCACTGGAAGGTTTCCAGCTCTAACCCCACCTCACCTCATCTGTCCTTTCTTTTTCCTGGTCTCTAAACCTCTGCTAGAGACAGTAGCCTGCTGACTCTCCTGTGACCTAAAGCCGTCTCTGCTGGGCCAGCTTCACCAGCTCCTCCACACACTTTCACTTCTACTATGCCCTTACACCTACTCTGTAGAGACAGGCAAATTTGTGAACATGGAGATCAAAAGTGAGAGCAAGTTTGGCTCATTGATGCTGTTTGAGACTGCAGGAGCCTGAATGGAGAGCTCAGCTTTTCTGGTTCCAATCCATGTCTATGCCATGGAAAGCCAACTCATGTTAAAGAAAAAAAAAACTTTTTTTTTTCGTTGTTGCTACAATATGATTTTCCTTTGACTTCATGTGCTATTATTTTGTACCATTCTAAATGATAATGGTATTTGTGTTACACTTAAAAACTGGTGTTTCCAAATCAGCATCTTTATCCCTTTTGAAATGTGAAACTACCTCTTCAGTCTTCAGAAAAAAATGGAACTGAAAGAAAGTAAGGAAGGAAAGAAAAGCCCTGAATGAACAGATAAAGCATCAGACAGATCATTTTCTTTAATTATGGATACAGGGTAAAGTGGCTGACCTGTCAGAGGACTGTTCTGGGTATAAATACAGTACCGCTTTATAAGTCTGAAGCAGCTGCACATGTTCTCTGGGTTCTCACTCCTCTCCTGTGGGTTTAAAGGACTTGACAAGCACCTGGAGACCCAGGGTCTTCTATTTATTTGTCTTCTGGGGGCTGTGGAGGAGCACCTTTTTCTCTTCTCCACCTTCACCTCTGAGCGAAGGCAACTGCTTCATGGAGTATGTAACTGGGCTGCTGGTCCAAGTTAGTTTGAAATCTGTAACAGTGCTGGCTGTTTAATATTGTTTTCACTGCTTATTTTAAATGTTATGCATTTCAGAAGGCAGTATCCAGGCAAGATCGGTGCTCTCTGTTACATGAAGCAGTGCGTGCAACAATCTTGCTAGTTAAATGAGATTTATGTTGTTTTTTTTAGTTTGCCACTCTGAACTAGCAACGTAATATATCTTAAATTATTTTTTCTTCTTGCAATCATTTTTTTGATATGGGATTAGTCGACTGTCTTAGAGGGTTTGTATATTATATATACGTGTATGAGAGAGTAAAGAAAGTATTTAAGTGGCTATGAGAAGGTCTGATGCAAGTATGTTTTCTGGCTGATATGCAGTTGTAATATTTCCAGTCCATCACTGCTTCTCCTTGATGCACCCTTTTCAGGGTTCTCCCTTTAGTTTCTGTTTTATTTTGAAAAGGTTTGTTTCCTCAGAGTCTTTTCACTTTGATTTTTATTTAGTCACGTTCTGATTTTGTGGTTGAAGTCTTAAGATGGAAACAGTTTTTTTTCCTTCCCTTGGCTCTATCCCTGAGCTGTGACATAAAATAATATACATAAAAATAATAGTTAGCATGTTAGCCGTTAGCCTAGATACAGCCGGGGCGCATAGTAGCATCAGACCTGTTAAAACATAAGTGAACGGGCAACCTTCAAGTGCAAAGTTAGTCCACTAAACAAGCTTTTTTTCCACAAAGACCGCCTCATATCGTTAGGATAAATGTCAGAGAACATATAGAAGACATGTAAACGTGTTGTCTTACCTTACCGGTGTGGTGCCATGTTTGTTTACCATTTAGCTCTGCTTTCCAAAGCGCAGCCGAAATATATCTCACGAGCTCTAAATAAAGCCCAGCTGGATACTACTCCAGGTGGAGGTGTCTCGTCCTTGGTCACATCCAGACCTTGAAAATAAGGCTGCAACCGGTCCCATTCCTTGCAACAGAGGCATTCCTCTTCTGTGGGCATTGGGGCACAGCATTCACAGGTACACCACCAATCTCCAGAGCTACGCAGCCTTGCAGCAGCCTTTCCTCCTCTCTCGTCCTCTACCAGTTGCGCCTCTCTCTCTCTCCTCCTCCGTTCTTCAATTTCACGAAGCTTTTCGTCAGTGTATTCTGGCTCAAATAAATAAGGGCGGCCTTCAAACTCTGCAAAATCAAATTCCTCCTCCACAAAGTCGAAGTCTGGCAAAAAGTCAGCCATTATTCTATAAATCTTTCATAAAATAAATGAATGAACTTTTCAGGCTGCTGTCCGGTTCTGCCTTCCAGCTGTTGCTGCTTGTTCTCGCGAGATTTCAGGCATGGTATGAGATTGCTGCTTGTTCTCGCGATATTTCGGCCGTGCTTTGGAAAGCAGAGCTAAATGGTAAACAAACATGGCACCACACCAGTAAGGTAATACAACACGTTAACATGTCGTTTTCTATATGTTCTCTGACATTTATCCTAATGACATGAGGCGGTCTTTGTGGAAAAAAAGCTTGTTTAGTGGACTAACTTTGCACTTGAAGGTTGCCCATTCACTTACGTTTTAAGAGGTCTGGCGCTACTATGCGCCCCGGCTGTATCTAGGCTAATGGCTAACATGCTAACTATTATTTTTATGTCACTAGTCACTCAAACAAATTTAGGACGATAGGAGACAGGTTGAAATAATCCGAAATTTCCCTTTAATTGGTGGAGCACCAAACATGGTCAATCATGGTATAATCTGTATGTATGTGAAATGGAAAATAGGCTATTTGTAATGCAGAAATGACATCAAGCACATTCAATCATGTATAGTTTTCTATTATTTCTGGTTTGTATGATTGTTTATCATTTTTTAGGTTTTGGTAGGTTATTTTTTTGTTTTCTTCTGGTTGGATATTGATTTGCTGTGTTCTTGTGGCTCTCAGTAGAAGTTGCCAATTAAAACTCCAGCAGCTCTTGTACAGGAGTGACTGTGTGCAGCCACAGTGTGTGGTTCCTCACACTGACTGGATCACAGAGGTGTGACAGTGAGGATGGGTCAAGGTGTCTGGAACGATGCCTGCTTCTCTCTGTGGAGACGCATACTTATATTGTGTAACAATAATTAATAAATTAATCTGTTGAATACAAACCATACATACCTGCATTATTGTTTTCATACTTATTAATTGTCATATTTACTATTGAATTGAGTTAACAATCAATCAATCAATCAATTTTGTTTATAAAGCCCAATATCACAAATCACAATTTGCCTCACGGGGCTTTACAGCATACAACATCCCTCTGTCCTTATGACCCTCGCAGCGGATAAGGAAAAACTCCCCCAAAAAAAACGGTAGAAACCTCAGGAAGAGCAACTGAGGAGGGATCCCTCTTCCATGACACAATGAGAGAGAGAGAGAGAGAGAGAGAGAGAGATGCAGGTAATGACAGTAGCTTAGAACAACATTATTGAAAGTAATAGTATTATAGTTCTGGCTACTGTGGTACAATATGTTGAAAGTATGTATTAATATCTGGCAGTATACATGTGTGACAATAGTCATATGTGTATAATAACAGTAGAAGTATGCCTAATGATAACAGCAGCAGCAGCAGGAGGCATCTGGCAGGACCACGGCAGCAACACAACCACACACGTCATGCTATCCAGGCACCGCTGCGATATGAGTTAATCTGAGAGACAGTGGAGCACAAAGGCTCCGGAGAAGAAGCCGAGTTAGTGACATCCAGAATGGCCGAGTTAGCAAGATGCAGTAATAGAATACGAGAGAGAGAGAGAGAGAAGGAGAGAAGGTGCCCGGTGTATGATAGGGGGGTCCTCCGGCAGACTAGGCCTAAGTCAGCCTAACTAGGGGCTGGTACAGGGCAAGCCTGAGCCAGCCCTAACTATAAGCTTTATCAAAGAGGAAAGTCTTAAGTCTAGTCTTAAATGTGGAGACGGTGTCTGCCTCCCGGACCGTAACAGGAAGATGATTCCACAGGAGAGGAGCCTGATAGCTGAAGGCTCTAGCTCCTGATCTACTTTTGGAGACTTTAGGGACCACGAGTAACCCTGCGTTCTCAGAGCGCAGTGTTCTGGTGGGATAATATGGCACTATGAGCTCTCTAAGATATGACGGAGCTTGACCATTTAGAGCTTTATAAGTTAACAGTAGGATTTTAAATTCAATTCTGGATTTTACAGGGAGCCAGTGCAGAGAAGCTAAAACAGGAGAAATATGATCTCGTTTCTTAGTTCCTGTTAGTACACGTGCTGCTGCATTCTGAATTAGCTGGAGAGTTTTTAAGGACTTACTAGAGCTACCTGATAATAGAGAGTTACAGTAATCCAGCCTTGAGGTAACAAAAGCGTGGACCAATTTTTCTGCATCTTTTCGGGTCAGGATAGGCCTAATTTTCGCAATATTACGCAGATGAAAAAATGCAGTCCGTGAGGTTTGCTTTAAATGAGAATTAAAAGACAAATCTTGATCAAATATTACTCCGAGGTTTCTTACGGTAGTGCTAGAGGCCAGAGCAATGCCATCTAGAGAAACTATGTCATCAGATAAAGAGTCTCTGAGTTGTTTGGGGCCAAGAACAATAACTTCAGTTTTGTCTGAATTTAACATCAGGAAATTGCTGCTCATCCAAGTTTTTATGTCTTTAAGGCAGTTATGGAGTTTAGTTAATTGATTACTTTCTTCTGGCTTCATCGATAATACAACTGAGTATCATCCGCATAACAATGGAAATTTATAGAGTGATTTCTAATGATGTTACCTAAAGGAAGCATATATAGAGTAAATAGGATTGGTCCGAGTACAGAACCTTGCGGAACTCCAAAACATGTTGTTTTGACATTGTCTGAGTGCCCTATTATTTAATATAGTGCGCGCTCACGAGCTGCAGGCAGGTCAGCCCTAGCTTCGTACTGAAGAAATGTCAAATATTGATCACTCATTTAAACAAAAGTACATTGGAAAATAGGCCCAGGTTGAAAAAAACATTAGTTCCCCTTTAAGACAACAGTTGTTTTGTAAAAGATTAAAGCTTGAATTAAAGCTGGTGCAGTAGCTGGACCAAACAAAGAAAAAAGTTTCCATTCAGGTTTCACTATAGAGCCCCAAGGTGTGTGTCAGCCTCACAGACAGCAGCAGCACTGCGGAGAGGATGGCTTTGTTCCACCTGAGGTGAGCAGGATCGGAGTTGATTTATGGTTTAGGACTGGATGAATCAGTCACAGATGATGGGGACTTCCCCTCTATCTGATTTGCTCCAATTACTTATGGTGACGTCAGTTGTCTTTACAGCAATATTTTTTCCTGGAATAAATGCTATACCTTAGTAATAAGGTTTATTTAGACGAGAGGGAGCCACTTTTAGACACATTATACATTGTATGCATATTCAGACCTGTCAGTTACTTAAGTAAAAGTAGCAACACCACAGTTTCCAATACGCCAATTCAATAGATAATAGAAGTTGCTTTTAGAATACAACTGAAGTACAGAGGGATAATCTGCAAAATGTACTTAAAGAAAAATTATAATCTCTTTTTCTGGAGTTCTTTAATGTTTAACATTGTATTATTTTATAAAATGATAATGTAATTTGGAAAACAAGAAACTATGGCTGTCAAATAAATGCAGTGGAGTCAAAAGTAATTTTTTTTCCTTTAAAAGTGAACTTTATTCTTAACTAGATTTACTGCCTTGCGGTTGTATGTCTGCAGATCTGTCAAATTGCAGTTCTAGTTAACATCCATGTCTGTTAAAAATAAACATGGATGCTTTACAAACATCTTCAGCCTGGCAGCACAGAACATCTATACAATCAGCACAGTTTGAAGGTGGACACCCAAGATTAGAGTGACCAATTCAGAATCTGACCAAATGTCTCCCCCTCTGTTCCTGAGATATGACGTTGAGTAATGGCCAGAAGTGTCTTTGCAGGCAGTATGATGGCACAGTGAAGTTGACCTTTGGGATAAAAAAAATCACATCACTTCATCTTTATATCCTATTAGACATTTGTGTAAAATTTTGTCATAATTAGCATAACTTTTGAGTTACGGCCAAAAACATGTTTTGTGAGGTCACAGTGACCTTTGACCTTTGGCCACCAAATACTAATCAGTTCATTGTTGAGTCCAAATGAACATTTGTGCAAAACTCGAAGAAATTAAGATGAGGTGTTCTTGAGATATCGTGTTTACAAGAATGGGATTTACAGACGGGTGGACGGACAGATGGACATACAGATGCACACAAATATGAACAGACAACCGGAAAACATGACTCAGTACCTCAATCATACTATAAAATGTACTGCAACTAAAAACGATGTTATGTAAATGTACTTATTTATATTCCTCTGACAACAGCAAATCATTTACTGTGATCGCAGACCAGCTGTGTGATTTTCTCCATGATAATAATTTATTTGAGGAATTTCAGTCAGGATTTAGAGTGCATCATAGCACTGAGACAGCACTAGTTAAAATTACAAATGACCTTCTGATTGCTTCAGACAAAGGACTTGTCTCTGTACTTGTTTTATTAGATCTTAGTGCGGCGTTTGACACAATTGACCATCAAATTCTACTGCAGAGACTGGATCACTTAAT